ATGAGTCTTTGAGCAACCTGGTCTAGTGGAAGGTGTCCCTGCTGCTGGCAGGGGGGTTGGAACTGGATGAGCTTTAAGGTCCCTTCCAACCCAAACCATTCTATGATTCTATGACCCACCACAAGCCCTTTCAAACAGAGGCACACTCTGCCCCTCTCTCCCTTAAACCAGTTGCTTCTGAGAACAGCTCTCAGAGCAGCAACTACTTCCTCTCTTGGGCTAAAGAAGTGTCCAGCAGGCAACCCCAGCATCCCCCTGCCACCCCAAGTGCAGCTGCACCGCGCTGCCCGAGGCAGGCTTTGCCAGGCCCCTGTGTTCTCAGGGGGCTGCTACACCTTGCAGGTGTTTTGCTGCTGAGCGTTCCCTCGTTCACACCCACCACTTACCTGGTCACGGATACAGATATGCTTCTGGTTTTTTACTTCACAGACCCGAATGAATTTAAGTAATCGCTTATAATCAAAATTATTCTGGATTCCTAGGTGATGGCAATCCCTAAAAATATTCCACAGAGAGTGTTTAACAATGAGATCATACTTGTACACATAGGAGCATTGTTTCAGTAGGAATTAATAATAAAAACAAAAACCATAAGATTTGTACCTTGCAAAATAATCCCATTTGTCAACGTCAATGCCGGTTTTTTTGTTAGCTACTATCTCATACAGGAAACTTTTCTCCTTTTGTCGACCACGGTAGGGCCACTAACAACAGAGGAGCCAAGAAAAAAAATAATCAAAACAATAAGAAATTAAAGTGTGAAAACAATGTCAGAACAAATTTTTTAAAACAGTGGGAATACATCTTGATTTTGCCTGTGATAAACATTCAACACTGAGGTAGCAAAGAACATAAAGACAATAAAAGAGCTTTCAGAAGCTGTGCGGCATTAGAAATCCAGAACTAGGGCTTAAGCATCTGACTTCCTAGAATATCAGGAAGAATAAAAACATTGTACACAAGTATTTCATTTCCCACTCTGCCAAAGCAAAGCCTGGAGCTTTGACATGCCAAAAAAACCCCCCAAAAACATGGCAACAAAACAGGGAAAAGGTTGGAATAATTTAATCCTCATGGAATTAGTTAAACCCACAAACAAATCACTGTCTTGAAGTCTTCTGTAATTAACTGTACAACTTTATAGAATAGCTTTAAAAGCAATTATTTAGATGTTTTAAACAAATTATTTAAACAGCCAGCTACTTAAACTCCTAAACCACAAAGAATAATTAATCCAAGAAGCAAACAGGAAATCAATGCCAAAATAATAACATAAAAGTTGCACATAAACATTATTTTCTTGAAAATTTAATGATTCTTCAGGTAAACAAAAAACACCATAAAGTGGCCTTGAAATTCTGAAAGTAGAAAACATTGTATACAAACAGATAAAAGGCTTTCATGCTACCTGCAGCACAGAAATACTAAAATTGGCATGAATAAGAATGGAAACGTGTGAGCAGCAGGAAGAGAGCACATCACAGATAAAAATAGCCTGTGCTGATCACAAAGAGCTTTGCTACTGGGACAACGTTCAGGACACGTTTATGTTCAACACAAACAATCCGTTGTTCATGTTGGGACCAGAACACCTGCAACGTGAGAGCATCACAGCACAGAGGCCTCAGCAGCAGAGGAGCCCGTACTCTGGTAAGACCAGCACAGACTGCCAGGGGAAGATCCCCCAGCCTAACACCAGGAGCGTGGCCAGAAGGTGCCGTGTATCGTGTATGACACTCCTCTTCCTGTTATCCTGCTGGAAAACAGGCACAGAATCCAAACAAGGAAAAGCAGACACTGGGTAAGAACCTGGCACAAGATCAATGGAAGTGGCAGGCCGCAAGATTTGTGTGCAAATGAGTGCGAGTGGGTAAAAATCAACCCGCAGACTTTGTAAATGAATATCCCCTTCCTGTAAGATCTCTGACTTATTCTGCTAAGTGCCCTGTGTCTGTCATCAGAATGCTGGAGCACATGTGGTAGAACTACACACCACTCAGCACAAAATAATGGGTAAGTGCTAACATCTGTGGGTGATTTGTTTGGGACAACATACAAGTTCTGATTAGGACCAGATTGTCATGACAGATCTCCCACTGACGGTTCTTAATTCTGGTCACAACTGAATGGGTCTTCCTGAAGAGATGACAAGAGCTGTAAAATGTAAAGCGAGGACAGTGGACTCAATTCTTTCACAGAGTTGCAAGGATTAATAATCATGATGTCTTCTTCCCGGCCTCTTGAGGCAACACATTTCTTCAAGTCTTATCCCCGCCTCTATGTTTGCTACTGCAACTAAACACAAGCATTTTACTACTGTCAGCAAAGCTGATGTGACTCTGGTACTTGGGCCACACTTTGCATTGCTCATTGCTTCATCTCTGCCAGTTCTCAGTTTTGTTATCCTTTATCAGGTTGTTACTGTTATCGGTGTTTTCTTCATACAGCCACCTGAAAACACAACCTCCCATCACCACTGCCTTCAGGCATCCAGTAAACAGGCTGTTATCCCAACCTGGTCATTTAAGATTTCCATTAAAAATTCAGTTCTAGTAATCTACTTACAGTGAACAAGGTTCACTAAATATAAATAACATCCTTAAGCTTTCCTTTAATCTGAAGACTTTGAGATAAGAACTTCTCAGGAAGATGCAAGCACATAACATAGTGAAGCTGTCAGTTCCTGCCAGCACTGTAAGAAATAAACACTACACTTCTCTAACATCTCTTGTACCAGGATTCTCAGAATTTAATGGTGCTAAAGACAAATAATAAAACACATCAGAAGCAAAAATTATCTACTGTTTCAGTAAAATTGAAGACATTTATTCAGATAACCACAGGAGCAGCACACTGACTCACCGATTTCTCACAAGCGGTTTCATCTATAGGCCCTCCTATTTGTTCCTTGATGAAGTTCATATCCTCCTCCAGGACAAGACCATACGACTTCATGACTTCTTCTAGTTTATTGGAAGTGATCAGGTGCTCAAACATTTCAACAGAAGCAGTCTCATGCTGTGAAAAACACACCTAAATGTTGCACTACAAAGTTTAAGCATCTTTTCTGCACTGCCACAGCTTCTCCCAACCCAGCAGCACTGCCTGGTAGGGCACGTGGGCATGGTGGTGTGGAAGTGCAAGCACTTGGGTGATTATCTAATCATTTTGTGTCTAATCAAACAGGAAATCATATGGTCTAGAGTCCAGAAACAGTCATCAGAGCACTGTTAATTTTGTATTTTAACAAACAGCATAAGGCGATTACAACACTAAAAGACAAAACAATCGATTCTGCTGTGCAGAAGATTAAGAAGTTCACTCAGCTGATTCTGCTTTGCAAGCAGAGAGAGGCCTGAAAGGACTGTGCCACATTTCATTCACAGCAAACAACCCTTGAAACTCTATTCAAAGTTTCTGCAAGTTTGAATTCTAAACACTGTATCAAATACCCTGGCCTTGAACTAAAATCCTAAACTGGAAAGGAAGCTCCCAGTCAGTATTCTGCATCTGTAAAATACATTCTGAAGAAAGCTCACAAGAAGCATTTTAAGGCGTGATGCTGGCTACAAATGATTAGTGCAGTCCTAACGAATTCTGACTCTTCAGAGTCACACTACACGCATTGACAAGACCAAGGCATTTCATTTCTCCTCTGTGTCACCCAGCACAAGATCTGCAGGAAGAGGACATGGGTACACAAACAGATCTCATGGAAGTACAGAGGAGTTCAAGAGAATTTGTACTTTCAGGGAAGAGATGCTGGTGACAAACATCGGCCCTCACTTACTTCCCCCCAACACCTCTTTCTGCTTTGCTGGTCAGGCTGCATCTACTCACAGCCATGGTGAGTGGGCTGACGTTCCCCAAACAAACAGTTAAAGAGAACAAGGAAATAATCACAAGATTAAAAACCAGAATGCTGTCTTCTAATTATGCCATCAGAATGATACAATAAGAAAAGGACAGACGATCACTATATTCTTACAAGCACTGGCAGTCTTTAAAGATGAATTATTCTCCCTTTAAAAATTTCAGTTTTCTATTTTTACTTTAACAGTGAAAAGCCTACCTTCCACTTGAAATCTGGACGAGTGAGTGGAACAAATCTTCCATCAAACATGTGTGAAAATGGGCCATGACCTTAAAAATAAAGATTACACAGGTTTAATCTGCGACATGGTTGTCAGTAAAAATATTGTGAGCAAGCTAAGGATTCGGATTCTCTTGTATTCACCTTGATCTTGACATAATCTATGAGGAAGATTCAGTGATAGCAAGTACACCTTCCTAAGACACCTTAATTACTACTGCACATTGCCTGTTCCATTAACTACACCACAGGCAAGGACTTACACTGAGGACATTAATTACTCTGTGCCAGCCCTGAAGAAAAGAAGTAGTTATAATATAATCATAGCAACATTTGAAAGGGCCACTAATTGTCACTCTGAAATGTTTTAAGAGACCCGAGCACGTCACAGAAGGAAGCAGATACTTTAGCCACTGAGGGCAGAACTCTGAACACCATATGGAAATGACAAAAAACTGGCTAAGAGTGGCTACAGATTCACCAAGCGGAGCTGCCCCTGCAGAGGTTCTCCAGACCAAACAGGAACAGGTAAATCCTGCTGGAGAGAGTCCAGCACAGAGCCACCAAGATGATGAAGGGAGTGGAGCATCTCCCTGATGAGGAAAGGCTGAGGGAGCTGGGGCTCTTTAGCTTGGAGAAGAGGAGACTGAGGGGTGACCTCATTAATGTTTATCAATATGTTAAGGGTGAATGTCAGGAGGATGGAGCCAGGCTCTTCTCAGTGATGCCCAATGGTAGGACAAGGGGCAATGGGTGTGAGCTGGAACACAGGAGGTTCTGCTTAAACTTGAGAAGGAACTTCTTTACAGTGAGGGTGCCAGAGCCCTGGGACAGGCTGCCCAGGGAGGGTGTGGAGTCTCCTTCTCTGGAGACATTCAAGACCCACCTGGACACCTTCCTGTGTGATCTCATTTAGGTTCCTGCTCTGGCAGGGGGATTGGACTGGATGATCTTTCGAGGTCCCTTCTGATCCCCAATATTCTGTGATTCTGTGAAATCCTGTCTCGGAATACGGCCACGCACCGAGCAGCCTGGAACAGCTCTCACATTCCCATCTCATAGCCAGTTTTTCATCCAGGTTAGCTTTCAAAGAGCAGTAAGGCAGCTCAAGTGTTGCTTACCCAAATCATGACAAAGCCCAGCTATTTCTACACAGAGGATATCTCGCTGGGTTATATCCAGTTCTGGTTGTTTCTCCTTCAGCGCACGAACCAGACACCCTGCTAGGTAGCCCACTCTGTTGCAGAAATAAAAAAAGTGAATATAATAGTGTTTAGGCTGAACAGAAAAAGAGCAGGTCATCTATTCTATCTTGCTCCATTAAGTCACAGCCTTCATCTGAGAGGTAACACACAATAAGTACTCAAACCCTAAACTGCAAGAGAATCACAGACAAACTATTCCCTGTAGTAGAGTTTTAGTTACATCAGTAACACATGTGAAAGCAAAAAAGCATGAGGTACCACGCCCAAAACACAGACCACAGCATCCTGCAGTATTTCACAGTGCGCAACCACGGAGTCACTGTGTAAGTGACCAGCAGTGCTTTACTGACAGCACACATCTTGAAGCATCACAGCTTACACATCATCCTTTCACTTCCAGTCAGTGCAACTGCAAATGTCCACAACAGTCAAAGCATTTTGTCCTTCTTTCACATGACAATGGCAATTATTGACAATTATTTCTCTTCCTTTCATTCATTTTAGATTTGACATTTAATTGAATGGGACCCTCTGTTCTCACGATACCAAACCAGCAGGAAGGCAGATACAGCACATGCTCCTGGGAACTCTTTACAAGCTCTACACCAACTCCCTTTTCTACTTGCCTCAGCCGTCCCCCTCACAGACCATCATAAAGCAAGACAAGGTTTTATATCAGGAGGTAGTATTTATTAGACCAAATTTTACTGTTTGGTGGGGTTTTTTTACTAGACCATTAAGCACACAAAGCTCACTTCCATTTTAACACTACATAAATCTTAAAAATTATATACATGTTGAGAACAACTGTCCTAAGTTTAACTATATAAATTTCATTGTTGAAAATAAAAGGTTGTTGATACCACTGGAGTTTTCAGACTCCTGTTGTGAAAGCTTTGTTAACATCACTCACATTTTTGTCTTTTCAGGTTTACCAGATGCAATCAGTCCCAGCTTGCCTCACTTATTTTGCATCTTGTTAGCGTCAGGGGGCCGGGGCAGAAGCCAGACTTACTCCACAATATTTCAGTACTAACAAAAGCAACTTTAGGCTGGATAAAAACCACTAACTAGTTTAATTTCTCTGCACCTTGGGTTATACCTTTAAAACAAACTTAAATTTGCCATTAATCAGCTTCTCTGAGGAGTGTGAACAGCCTAGCAACACTCTGGGAACCCTTGTGCCCATCATCCATTTCTGTTTAACTTATATGACAACTAACAGCCTGAAATTGGCCATCGATTGCATAAAGCACACATAACTATGAACGCAAACATTACAGACAGAATGGGTTTGAGCTGTGCTGGACAATGTAAGGGGATTACAACTGTCTGGCAAGTCATTTCTAGCAGCCCTGGTACCCTTCCCTGGTTTACACTTTAAAACTCAAATTTTAACCAGGAAGAACATCAAGCACCCAGAGTTTTTAATTAATATTATTCTTATAAGAAGAAGGGGCAAGGGAGGAAATCTAACATTGATCCATCTCATAGGTTTCTTTATCTGTCTTTATTAAATGAAGTTCAAGGGAACAGCCCATCATCACACAGGATATCCAGGAACTTTTCTGAGACCAGAAATGCCAACATACCAGTTTTTACCAATGCTCAAAGACAGCAATGCCCCTTGGCTGGCACTCCACGCTAGTGCAATCAAACTCAGGGGAATCCAAATGCAAGAGACGTGCGCACAAGGCTTCACCTTACCCTACAGAGTGTTCAAAGCGGTTGTGAGAGGCTCCTGGAAAAACAAAGTAAGTGCCACCCAGCTGCTTGATGTATCGGAGGCGCTGAAACTGAGGTGTGTCGATGATACGAACGAGAAGGGGATGTATTTCAATGTGCCCATGAATTGGGTCATTAAAAACCTACAAAAGGCAAACAACGGTGTAATTAACATTTAAAATTTTACTTTGAAAAGAAACAGGTACCAAGGTAAAGGATAACTAGAACAGTCAGGTGTTTGGTGGGAGAGGGCGATTGTTTTGTTTTCTTCTGTAAAACAGCCATATCCTATCTACATAAATCAGGATTTATCTTGGAGAACTACTTAAGCATGACAGTGCTTTTAAATCAAGTGAAATTTTGCAGAGAGGAAATTGTGTTTCTTACCTTTTTCATGAAACAAAATACAAACCCCAAGATAACTGAAATATGAAAGATGTACTCCCTGATCACCCCTAAGTACATGTTTTAAGAGACATCTAAGTAGCTACAGTGCCCTACTGGAGAAGATTAATACACACATTTAATCCTTGTCTCAAAACAGCATTTAAAAACATTTCATCACACACATATCTTGAAAAAATACTCAGGCAAATAAAGTCTTCCTGTGTTGTTTCTACTCTTGGTCACCGAGCTGGCAGGGCTCTAGCAGATGTGCAGAAACCCAAGGAACGTCTGCAGCCCTGGCTGGAGTTAAACCAACATACACCACTGTGCGAAACTGTTGGACACAGCAAACAGTGGAAGGGAGGAGGAGTCTGTTAATCCAGGCCTGGGGCTAAACTAATAAAGAAAACCAAGGGAAGGCTCTACACAAAGAGATGTGAAAGAGGAGCTTCTCCAAACCTTTCCAACAGCTCATCTGCTCAACCTCTCACAACCGCCAGGTGCCCACATCAAACTCCTAGCTGACGATTTGAACCATTTTTCTGGTTTATGTGGTTTTTCAAAGATCACCCACTATCAAGGAGAAGGGCTCGGAGTTCGCTGCTCTGCAAAGGAAAAGCATCGCCGCAGCACCAGCTGGCACCACCAAGGCAAAAAGGGGAGGAGGCAGAGAGACAAGGGGAGAGACAGGGCTGTGAGTCCCTGGAAGTCATGTCCCCTGACACCACATACCTTCATGATGTCCATGTGCTGCTGTCTCAGCTTGTTCAGGCAGGCCAGCACTTTCAGTCTCTCGGCTGGGAGGCTAGAAGAGGGGGGAAAAAAAAAGACACTAAGAGCAAAGTTTGCAATGCATTTCCCTTCACAATGTGCAGAATTACCTGTGCAAGTTCGTGTTACTCTGATATTTGTTGACTCTTTTATGGAAATAGTTATTTCTACAGCTTTTTCAGAAAAATATTGAAAGCATTTATCCTTCTAAAGTCAAGTGGAGAAGGAAGACAGCAAATAGCTAAAGAAGTTGTGTGTAAAGCAGTGTTGAGTTTCTCCCACTAATACAGAACTGAGAAATAGAAATACCAGGAAATACACAATTTTTTCCATCAGTTTCTTTTGGGGAAAGTCAGGTTTGGTGTTAAGTCCTTTAAATTTAGAGGAAGGACAACATGCAGTGCCTGAATAACTGACACTTTTTAAGGTTAAAGAAATTCCTTAAACTAAAATGTCAAAGTCCCAATAAACTATTTTTAGAAACATTTCCTTCAGTTAGTCAATTCTGCATTAAAAGAAGTTTAATTTTGCCAAATTAACTTGAATTTTACATAAATTAATTTCAATGCTAACAGAAGAATCACTGGAGTTCAAAAGATGCTCTAATTTTGTTGAGAACCAATTCTTTTCCTTCATAAAGATATTTTGCTGTCATTTTTAATAAATCACTAAAGGTCTCCTTCACAACACAGGTAAACTTTCAGTGCAGGTACTCTCTTGCAGCCAGAGGCAGGACTAGTCTGGAGAGAGAGATAATACACTATTACACCCACTTTTATTAACTCTGTCTGCAAGTCTTGTCCTTGAGCAAAACTGTTTCAGCCTCGGTATGCCAGCAAATGCTTTATCACGAGAAAGTACAATTTGTTACCTTTTACACTACTCCTGAGATCAGTTTAACATCAGCCTTTTGATTTAAACTTTAACAGAAAGCAATACAATAAAATGTCAACTATTAGCAAAAAATAATGCTTGGTGCACTACATATTTTTATCCAAGTCATTTAATAATTTGCAATCCATAAAATAATAAACCCATAGGATGTCTGAGCTGCTGGCAAGCAGTTTTTGACTTAATCACTTAGTGTCCCTGTCCCTAACAGGGAGCTCTGCTGCTCACAGACTCACAGGGCTTTAGCTGCAAGATGAAAAGTGCTGGTGGTCATGCCCAGAGCAGCGTGATACTTCTCCACAAGCAGCTCAGTCTGTAGGAACAGCCATAAACCCCCCGACACTTACAAGGGAGCTCCTGAAAGAGCCCGCTATTTACAGGGCAGCAGAAAGCAGCTGACACAGAGGACAAGGCGAGGACCTCCTGCATCTGCCTGTCCTTCTTGCTCACGGTGGGAAAGCCGAGGAACCTTCCTGCATCCAGCAAACCAGAAGCCTGTACACACCTATCCTTACGCTCCCAGGAAAAGCAACTGCAACCACTTTTTGAGGACTGTCCTGAAAATGGGACCAAGAACATTCAACTGCTGCTGCTAAGAGATGTGTAACCTTTCCAGTCACAGCCATGACTAACCCAGGCAGGGCAAGCACTCAGGCTGGTAACCAAGCACCTTCATCAGCACCCTCAAAAACAGTTCAGGGACAGCAAAATCAGGAGTTCTCTGCTTCCAGCCATCTACATTCACTTTACATCTGTGGAGAAGTTCTCTCTCAAGACACTTACCTACCACGCAGAACCACACATGGACTAAAGCACCTTCACTCCAGCAGACTTGAAAAATTAACACCTAAACTTGATGTACAGAGATGACCCCCACGTTCTTAGTTACAATTGAGGTCTTCAGTCGATATCATTTCAAAGCATCCTAATAACAGAGATCAAACATCACAAGGGTGTTTTTGAACAAGCTGTAATGGTGCAAGAGGTACAGCAGCAGCACCACCACACAGTCAGGAAATAGACCTCAGCTAACAATTGCCCAAAGGGTACTCTGGATCATGCAAAGTACACGAGGTAGGACTCCAGGACATATCTGAGAAGGTGAAGTAGGACAAAGCAGCATTAAATGAGGGACAGCACTGCTGAGTACAGGCACAGCCTGCTGGTTTAAAGCACTTGATTATACTTTTAAATGCCACATGAATTCAGGAGTGAGGAGAAAATTAACTGGAAAATAGCCAAGTACACAAGGAAGAAGGTGTGTGGGCACCTACTGTCTTGAGAAATTATCAGTGACCTCAACTAAAGGAACAGCAGAGAAAGGACAGCTCTGTCCTACTGACAATAGTTTATTACACAGGTATCTATGCAAACGCTGCCCGCCAAGAGTGGAGCCTCATGTGCTGCTTTGCTCCAGAAACTGCCCTCCAGCAGGGCTGAGTGAAACCGTGCTAACGCAGATCTCCGCACCAAACAACACACCTGCTGCTGGAGTCACCCCGGGACGGATCGGTGCTGCACACAGGTGACAGCAGAAGCAACAGCCCCAGCCAGCGAGGCTGGGAAGTCCCTGCGTCTTGTCGACTTGCCCTGTCCCCAGGAACACTAACCCCCGTCCTGTGTTCAGCCTCCAGATGACGCAGCTGTCTATGCAGTCCTGGAGTGACTGACCACCCGCACGCCACGCCACAGAGAGCTCTCTATCCTTCTTCAGACAGAAAACAACAGCAGGAGATTTTTCACCTGGTGAAAAATGGTAAGCCCACCTCAAGCAAGAGGTCACACACAAACCAAGTGTTTGTACTGTGGTTTTCTAGGGCTCTGCAGACACAGTTCCTCCGACAGCCAAAGCAGCAACACTTGCTGGCTGTCTGACACGGTGAGAGCTGACACTTCCCCACCCACTGCCCTCCACCCCTGCTTCTTTGCCCACACGCTCCCTCCTCATGCCACAGGCAACAAAGAAGAGAAAACTCTTTTCCCATATCCATTAGGGACTTGACTATTCCCGAGAAGGCAGCCAGACAGCCCTACTCATCATCCATATTTATCAGGCAGCATTCTGCACTCCACGCACAGCATCCACTTCCAGGAACACAAGAACAAGTGGGAAACCCACAGCAGTGCCTCCAGGCTCCTGTCGTCCGGAGCTCCAGGAACGGCAGGAAACTAAATACATGCTTTTGTCACTGGCCTGTCACAGAGAAATGATGAAAGTCACTGTCGGACTTTCATGCAGCGGACAGACACATGCAAAGGGATTGATCTTTACTGCAAAGTTGATATGTTTAAAAAAAGCAAAGGCTCTAGTAATTTCTCATCCAACTCAGAACATTTTAAGCTTAACAGAAACAAGATGTCAGATCTCCCCAAAGGAAACACCTTATAAAAGAAAACCCACAAGCACGTCATTCCATGCCCCCAGCACCATCCACTCTCCACACTGACCGAGAGCTCTTCACAGCCCTTTGACTCCAGTGCCGGTACCACACGCTGAGGGACTCCCTCGCTACCCCGTCCTGCCTGCCAACGTTCAGCGCTAACAGAGTCTCACCTACAAGCTCCTGACAACCCACAGGTGTACAGTGTGTCCGAGCGTCCGTAGGGGCACCTGATGCTCAGACAGCCAGCGAGGTACTAAAAGCAGCCAGCCTCCTGGTAGGCTCTAAACAGAAACCATAAATCCACTTGTTATTTCAATGAGACAATTACTCTCAGAAACAAATAAAGCTGCCTTCCTCATGACACCCACACCATTTCTACCTGCACACTTCAAACAGCTGCAGTTAAAATACCTTAATGACTCCTGCCCACATCTTACCTCCTTGAAAGCACAACCCTTCTGCCTTGTCATCTTGAGTCACACCAGCTTTTATTTCTTTACCCACGGCCACACCCAATCACCTGCTCTTCCAACTCACCCTTCACAAGCTGTGAGCGCAGCCAGGGTGTCTCGATATAAAAGAGATGGGCCCTTCTCCTCAGCATGGTGTCAGCTCCGACAACTTTTCAGCCAAGGAAGGAGCCAACCTGCAGGCCAAAGTACTCAAAACCCGCAGCACACAAGCACAGCTCTGCCCTCGTGCACACCTGCCAGATAACCACCCTCCAAACTGCCTCAGGTCCCCTACCCACAGCATTAGCAAATAGCTTGAGCAACATACGGGGTTTGAGAGGAATTTGGAGGTAACAGTGTAAACAAAGCTAGCAAAGGAGTAAAGAAAAGGCATTCAAAGATTAAAAAGCACCAGGAGGTATGTGGTGAGCCAGCAGGATTGTATCCCAGGAGAGGTGAGCAAAACCAACGCCAATGGGGCAGGGAAGGGGCAGAGGGGACCCTTCAGACTTGTAGGACAACAGGCATTTATACTCTCTTCTGTTTCAGAACAGCAAGAAAGTATATTCACCACCAGAAAAAATAAAAGGTTTTTGGGACCAGCCCTTTCCCTCACTGCAGGGAACAATCATGCTTTCAGACAGCACTCAGGTTTACTGTGCCTGTGGCAGGGGACTGCTACCGAGCTGGGAGAGAGACTCGGCCAGGCTGCCCACTCCCCACAGCCAAGTGCTGCGGCAGCTCACGGTGGCCACTGAACTCTGCCACTTGCCCACAGGCCCATCTTCGGTCAGGACACACAACAAAATATCTTTTTCACAACAATCCACCCTACTGTAGCAGGTGCAACAAAGAGCAAAGTCCCAGCAACTGTTGCAAGATTAAAATTTCAATGCCCAGGACTTGTCTCAGGGGATGGGTGAAACCCAGCCTCTGCAAAGCAGTGCCTGCTCGTGATCTTAAACTCGTTAGTGGGATGGAAGTGGCATTAACTTCAGGCTGAGAAGAAAGTTCCAATCAGAACCCCTGGAGTTTAAACTGGAGTTGCTATTAACACTTATAAGGTTACTGTGCTACCGGTGGTATTTTCATTAAAACTTTTAAA